TGTGTCCGTGTGTCCCTGTGTCCGTGTGTCTCTGTGTCCGTCTGTCCGTGTGTGCACATATGTCCCTGTCACGTGTCCCCATGTCCGTGTGTCCCTGTGTCACTGACTGTGTCCGTGTGTCCGTGTGTCCATATGATCTATGGCCATCTGTCCCTGTGTCCCCAAGCTGAGTCCATGTGTCCCCATGTCCGTGTGTCCCACGTCTGTGTGTCCCCATGTCCCATGTCCATGTGTCTGTCCCCGTGTCCGTGTGTCCCCGTGTCCATCTGTCTGTGCCCGTGTCCCTTTGTCCCTTTGCTCTCGGTGTCTCCGGACTCTCTGAGGGGTCTCGGGGGGGTTTAGGGGGGTCCCAGGGAGGTCTGGGGGGTCCTGGGGTGGTTTGGGGTGTCCCGGGGGGGTCTCCGGGGGGTCCCGACCTGGGGGTGACGCGGTGTCCCCACAGCGTGGACGGCGAAGCCCCGGGCAGCGAGGGGGGGGGCCCGGTGCCCGACAGCCCCGGGAGACCCCCCCCGTACCGGGGCCTCCCCCAGCCGGCGCCCCAAGGCCCGGGGGGGGCCGGGGGGGGCCCCGGGGGGGGCTCCCCGGGCGTGGCCTGGCCCCGGCTGCCCCCCCAGCCGGCCAGCGTGGCCCTGCGCAAGCAGGAGGAGGAGGAGGAGAGCAAGAGGCCGAAGGCTCTGAGCGACAGCTACGAGCTCTCCACCGACCTGCAGGACAAGAAGGTACCTGGGGACACCTGGGGACACCTGGGGACAGATGGTCACAGCCCCGTGTGACAGTCCCCAGACCCACGGCACGCTCCTGTCCCCATTTGAGGCCACCACGTCCCCTCTCTGCTGCCAGCCCTCCTTCCCTGGGCGTCCCTTCCCTGTCTCCTCCCTGTCCCCTCCCTGTCCCCTCCCTGTCCCCACCCTGTCCCCACCCTGTCCCCATGGCCACATCCACCTTTTCATGTCCCCATCCACGTCCTTTTCCCATCCCTATCCCTGTGTCCCCATCCATGTCCCCAACCCTGTGTTCTCATCCACATCTCCATGTCCCCATCCTCATGTCCTCCTGTCCCCATGTCCCCACCATGCTCTCATCCTCATCCCTGTCCTGGTGTCCCCACGTGTGTCCGCACGGGTGTCCCGGTGTCCCCACGCGTGTCCCCAGGGGTGTCCCGGTGTCCCCAGGGGTGTCCCCATGCGTGTCCCGTGTCCCCAGGGGTGTCCCGGTGTCCCCAGGGCTGTCCCCACGCGTGTCCCGTGTCCCCGCAGGTGGAGATGCTGGAGCGCAAGTACGGGGGTTATTTCCGCTCTCGGCGGGCGGCGCGGACGATCCAGGCCGCGTTCCGGCGGTACCGGATGGCGCAGAAGTTCGAGCGGCTGCGGAGCGAGGGCGGCCGGGCGCGGCGCCTGGCGCTGCCGGGGCTGCGCCTCCAGTTCTCGTTCGAGGAGTACGACCGGGGACCCCCGGCCCCCGCCCCGGGGCCGCCCCCGCCGCCCCCGCCCTACTTCCAGGGCAAGCCGGCCTCGCTGGACGAGGGCGTCCTGGGGGGGCCGCGCCGCGCCCCCCGTTACGGGGGCTCCTGCCGGGCCGGCCTGGACGGGGGCGGGGGTCCCGGCGAGGGGGCGGCGGTGGGGGGCGGCTCCGGGGTGGGGGGCGCGGGAAGCCCCCCCCGGCAGCTCTCGGCGTCGGCCGATTTCGGGCCCGGAGGCGCCGACCTGGAGGAGGCTTTTGCGCAGCAGGTGGGGGTCGGGGGGGGGTCCTGGGGGTCACGGGGTCGGGGGGGATCATGGACATTGCAGTGGCCATTGGGGGTCACCGGTGACAAAGGGGATCGGGGGGGTCACAGGGATTTGGGGGGTCCTGGTGGGATGGGGGGGGTCACGGGGGCCAATACTGGGGGTCCGGAGCCCATGGGGGTGCGCGGGGGGCTCACGGGGGGCTCCTGTCCCTGCAGGTGAAGTCCTTGGCCGCCTCCATCGATGAGGCGCTGGGGGGGGGGCGCGGGGTCCCCCCCGGCGCCCC